GTACAAGGTGTGATGGTTTGAAACGTATTGATCTAATATATTGCTTTGCTGACAACAGCACACTTGTCTCGTCATTCCATTTGGATTCCAGGACATTCACTACGGAGGCATATCTTCACCGGCAGCAGGAGGTTGCATATTTTAATAAGAATCTAGAAGTAATTTCGAAATGGGGTGAAAGTAACCAGGTTCAATTCAATGCCACATAACTCCAGGCATCGGTTTTTTCCAAGAAGATAAATGTCTCCGAACCGGATATAATAATGTCAGGTCAGACAATTCCGCTTTCTGCTTCGATATGTTTGTTGGGGGTTAAAATGGACACCAATATGTCTTGGCACAATCATGTCGCTGGAATTGCAAAGGCTGTTTCTCAAAAGCTTGGAACACTGTTCCGAACCAGAAAACTGTACACATCTCAGCAACTTTTGATGCTTTATGAAGCTCAAATCAAACCTTCTTTGGAGTATTGTTCTCATGTATGGAGCTCTGCCCCTAAACTTACCCTGAAGTTGCTGGATTCCATCCAGAAAAGAGCCATCCGCCTGACTGGAGACGCGAACATTACGTGCTACCTTGATGGCCTGGAAGATCGAAGAAAGGTTGGAGATTTGGGAAATAGGCATTTCCCGGACTAGACTGGAAAAATGCTACTGTCCCCAATGAAAAGCGTCTGGGAATTGGGTACTTCCCGGATGGTTCCCAAAAATACTTACCATCAAAAATAGTCGATCTTTCGTTCGGAAATTAGTACCCAAGTACGTCATTTTTTGTAGATGTCGATAAGGCAAGATATTCTCTTGACCAGTTAAGCCGCATTTTACTATTATAGTTCGCAGAATTGAAAAAGTTCATTTAGTAGATTTCTCGATAATTATTGGCATATAATTATTGATGATAAATCAACTGATATTTCTTCTTGTCGCGATAAAATTTAAATGTTTAAAAAAATATTTTTCAATTGAAAGTTTCAGTTCTCTTTCATTTACATAAATTGACTCATAAATTGACTCATTTTCACTGAAATACAAGTTTTATATATGTCACATTTGTACCCGACTTGGTTAGTGTTTATAGTATATGTTTTCTTGGTTTTTGAAGATGAACATAGTTACTATTTAGGAACAATCATGAAATACAAATCAATTCAAAGAACTAAGATTATAAAAAAAAGGAGAGATTGAACTGTAAAACATTACGGAACTTATTCACATTCTGTCTAAACAGCAATTGATATACCAATGACGGAAACAAGTTTTTACGTACCACCAATGACTGAACTGATCGATATTTATAAATAATTAAGAAACGTATTGTGAATCAAAACAATATGTTCATGGTGAGACACCAGTTAATCAATATCTTCACTGAAAACCTTAATGAATCACCAGAGAAATTGCTAGTGAAAAGTTCTTTCCGTTTTCATTTGCAACACCCCAAAATGAACTTTTTGTTGTACGACATGAACAATAGCAGAATTAGCTGCCAATAGCAAAAGACTAGGCCATCATATAAGTGGAGGCAAACCTAGAAGTGGAGAGGAAATTATTACATGTGGTGTGCCCCAGGGGACTTGAACAACCTTTTTCTTCAAGACATCAACTCCAACATTCTAAGTTTCGCCGATGATACTATGCTGTTTTGCGAAGATGAAAACTGGTTTAATTTGAAACATAAATTAGAACATGACCTTCATTAAATCAAATTGTGGTTCGACCATAGGCTCTTATCTATTAACTTCGAGAAAACCTATTACGTACCATTCAGTAGTTACGACAACTCTCTACCAGAATATAACATCAAAATCTTGAATACGGAAGTCATCAAACCCACAAAGAAAATAAAATATCTTGTGTTAGCTTTAGCATTATCGCTGTTTGAGGGATAACGATTTGAGTGTGCTTGGAATGATATGATAGCAATAATATTGGGTATACAGGGTGTTGTTTTAAAAAACATCAATCAAATCTATACAGGATGTTTGTAACGTTGAAGCAAAAAACATGGCTACCAGCGTTAAAGAAAAAACATGGCTGCCAATGTTAGAGAAAAAAACATGGCTGTTATGGAAGTATACAAAGTGTGTTTGCAGTGTTGAATGACATAGAGGTATACAGGGTGTGCAGCGCAGGTATACAGGGTGTGCAGGATGTTTGTAACGTTGAAGCAAAAAACATGGCTACCAGCGTTAAAGAAAAAGCATGGCTGCCAATGTTAGAGAAAAAACATGGCTGTTATGGAGGTATACAAAGTGTGTTTGCAGTGTTGAAAAAAATGGCATGGAGGTATACAGGGTGTGCAGCGCTGAAGGAAAAACATGACAGCCAACGTTAAAGAAAAAAACATGGCTGAGAGTGTTACAGAAAAAACATGGCTTTCAGCGTTAAAGAAAAAAAATGGCTGACAGCGATAAAAAAAACATGGCTGCCAGCGTTAAAGGAAAAAACATGACTACTATGAAGGTATACAGGGTGTGTAGCATTGAAGAGAAAAACATGGTTGCCATCGCATGTACATGTTGTGCGTAGCGTAAAAGAAAAAACATCGTTGCTAATGTAACCTAACGATGATGGTGACCAAAATATGAATTAACAAAGTTTGGGATCTTTACAATTCATCAAAAAATTAGCACTTCTAGTTCATAAAAATTCAGATAGAAGAAAAGTTATGATGAATTTGGATTGCCCATATGGAGGAGAGCCCAAATCATGCATGCATTTTATTCATTTTGGTAGTATATTATAAAACCATTTATATATATTGTGTATTGATTTGTTTACAGTCTGGAACCCTTATGATTGAAATCTCTATATCCATTGATTGTTTAATTTATTTATATCATGTTCAAATGTGTCCAGTTCAAAATTATGTTTTTATCCATATTTAGTACTCATTCAATACATTCGTTCATTTTGATTCTTCATATTCTGTTCAAATATGTCCAGTCCAAACTTATATTCTTGTCTATATCTAGTACTCATTCCAATAGATTGATTGTTTTTTTTATTTATATTTTGTTCAAATGTAGCTGTTTTGAATGTATATCTTAGTACTTAATTTAATGCATGATTCTCATTCATTGTCAGATTCAGTATTCTCATTCCTCACACACAGGCAGATTATTTTGCTTCGTAAGATGTATTTTATTTGTTCACTGTTTATTTCTATATGTACACTAGCAGACCTGGCCACGCGTTGCCTTGGCTAAGGTTTTTGTTATATTACATTGTAGTAAACTATTTAAGAGGAACAGTGGGAGAACACCAGTCACCACCATGCTTTTTTACATAGATGCCATTTGTAAAAAAATATGGCATGACAGATTTTCTACTACTGTGATCCCTTAATACAATAAAATTATTATTTACGAACGAAGACGAAACCGGTAAAGCTGGTATAAAAATCCACTGGATTGGGATTTGAAGGGGAAGGACTTTGAACACGATTGATTAAAATTTTCGTATAGTTGATATCAAGCAAAAATCAATACAAAAGAATTAATTTTAAAATTTATTATGGCTATCTCT